AAGTTGCATAAATGATGTTTGGTTTGTATGCATGGTGGGGAATTGAACTCAGGACCTCAAATATGCTAAGCAAGTATTATGACAGTTAGGGTTTCCATTGCTGTAAAGAGACACCATGACCACTGCAACTCTTATAAAGGAAAACATTTAACTTGTGCTGGTTTACAGTTCAGAGGTTAGTCCATTTTCGTCATGGCAGTGTGCCGGCATACATGGTTCTGGAGAAGGAGCTGTGAGTTCTATATCTTGATTTGCAGGCAGAGGTAGAGATTGTCCCCTCAGGCCGAGCTTGAGCGTGTAAGACCTCAAAGCCACCTCCACAGTGACAGACTTCCTCCAACAAAGCCACGCCTCCTAATAGTCCCATTTCCTATGGGCCAAGCATTCAAACACATGAGTCTATGGAGGCCATTCCTGTTCAAATTACCCCCCTTAGCTACATCCCTATCCAATGCTGTTTTATTAAAATTTAATTAATAAACAAATAATGGATACAATCAATACACTTAGCGGATGAGAGCGGAGATGATTTGATATTCTTTTAGCAAACGAGCTTCTTTTGGAGACAATAAAACTGTCTTTCTACTTAAACATTATAATAGCACTTCAATGTTTTCAATGCATCAGCATGTGACATGGGTGGATGTCACAAACCCTTGGCTGTTTCTCCTACTGATTGTGGAGTTGATTTCCTTCCCTATTGGATCTGGGTTGGCCTTATTGATTTAAAAAACTGAATGTGGCAGAATATTCTAGAAGGTCTGTCACTCATTTCTAAGAAGCCTGCAGCTTCTGTAGAGGTCCATTGACTATTTCTAGATCCTACTTTCCATGTTGGGTCAGACTCCCCTGCAGAACCCCAGGCTCCGCCAGCTCCTGAACCCACAGCCGGCAACCAGCCAGGCATCCCCCCCCCAACCCCCGTTTCTGATGTGCAGGGCTGTAGCGGTCTTCAACAGAAAGTTTGGGACAGTCTGCCACACAGCAGTGGACGGCCTGGGACCTTGACAAACATCTGTTCCCTACAATAATCTCACGAGGTAGCGCGGATTATGTATTTAGGATGAGCCCCAGGTTCCACGAGCCTTCATCACGATGGGCGGGGACCAGTGTTCTCTCAACCGATAAATTTAACCTCGCTTGTGATTCATCTTTCAACTGTTGAGTGAGAGATTATATCTTAATCCTGCCATCATTGCTAGAAAAAATAGTGTTTTATGTGTCATAGGACTGTGAAGGACTTGGGTGATGACAGACACTTAAAAAATGGGTTAATTTGCTTTGAAAATTCTACCCCATAAGGAAGAGTCAGCAAAAAAAAAAAAAAAACCAAACAAACAAAAAACAAAACAAAACAAAAACAAAAACAAAAAAACCAAAACCAAAACCAAAACCAAAAACAAAAAAACCAAAACTCTTGAGTGCTCTGTTTTAGCAGTTGGCACATGTCAACAGGTCCTAGCATTTTAAAGAGAAAACACCATGTATCATCACAGAACAGTGGCAACCGCCATGCATACATGGATACGGTTTCATGTGTGTGTGTGTGACAGCATGGGGATATAGATTTGAGATCAAGAAAATTCTAAAACCCTGTAAGATTTCCTTTCCAGCACCTTGAAGGTAAGGTCAACTTTGAATCCAAACCAACATCCCCATTTAACTTGCTGTGTGTGTGTGTGTGTGTGTGTGTGTGTGTGTGTGTGTGTGTGTGCTTCCCTTGGGAGTTCGGGGACTCTGGGAAAAGGCTTCTTTCCACTGTCTCCCACTGGGCCTTAAACAGGCCCTGACCAATGGAGTCGGGAAGTTATCTTTTCTTTGCAATTCAGGGAAATGGGTACCAGAAGCAATTGGGCAGATGGCTTGGAGGGCAGCAAAGCATCACACGTGACTGTGGTGGGTACCCAGTACGCAGCTAGCGAACTAAATGTACTCCAGCTTAGTCAGGGATGGCGGGAAGAGACAGTAGGGGAAGAGCTGCTGGGACCCTCACACCCCTGGGTAAGATCCATCCCACCTTGGGTGCGCTCCATCCCATCCCCCACCTTCCCCGGGTACGCCCCGTCACACCCCGGGTACGCTCCCTCACACCCCGTCACACCCCGGGTATGCCCCGTCACACCCTGGGTACGCTCCCTCACACCCCGTCACACCCTGGGTACGCTCCCTCACACCCCGTCACACCCCGGGTACGCCCCGTCACACCCCGGGTACGCTCCCTCACACCCCGTCACACCCCCCCCACCCCGGTATGCCCCGTCACACCCCCGGGTACGCCCCATCACAACCCGTCACACCCTGTCACACCCCCAGTACGCCCTGTCACACCCCAGGGACGCTCCAGCACTGGTGCACTGGAGCACTTGAGGGTCACAGGACTTCCCATACACTGTTCTTTCCCAACACTGGTGCTCTGATGAAAAACCGGTAGGGCCAGGTGTATAGAAAATCCAAACAACAAATGTACTAGCCATTCAAACGCATATTATGTAAGAAGTCTTTTAAAAGTACCCCTGGGGGTGGGGTGGGGGGAAAGTACCCTGGGAATGTTCAGAGAATGTAGAGAGGTAAGTTTCCCAGATTATTACATATTGTTTTTAAAGTCTTAAAAGATGAAAATTAGACATGAAACATAAAACAAACAAACAAAACAACTCGGGTGCTTTTAGAGACTCAGACTGAGAGGTGCTCAGAGCCGGGTCCAGGCTCCATCTTACATATGTGTGCATATATAAGTAACTATAATAATCAAATAAAAATAGGCTTCACTTTTAGAGTTGGGGGCATGGGAGGGGCAGGAGGGAAGAAAGAGAAAGGGGTGATACATTTTAATTGAAATATATTTTAAAAATTAAAAAAATAAATGATTAACTCAGGTTAGGGAAGAGCAAGAAACTAACAAAGGCAAAAAAAACGAGAAATTTATTGAAATGGGAATCAAACTACTAATTAAAAAGCAAACTATGTCACAGGACATACGACATAGCACACACACACAAATAGGCAGACTCTCTAATGTATAACCCCTCCATCCCATCCCAACCCCCCTTTTTAAGGGTATGATTTTGTTATGTTGCTCAGGCTGACTCAAACTTATGAACTCAACCGATCCTGGAACTCGGTTTCCTGAGTAGATATGACTACAGGCATGTGCCCCAACCTAGATGAAGTAATTTACTCAGGAATGCAAGGATGGTTCATGTTTGGACGGAAGGAGAGGAATTAGATGTGCTTCCCCGGACAGTCGAAAGGCAGGAGATAAAGCTCAGCATGTATCCTTCAAACTGGTTTAAACTCGGGCTCAGTGGGCACTTCTTCAATAGGAACACCTTTATCCAAACCAAGTTTAGGGCCGCCCTATCACTTAACGTTAGTTTAGAGGTATTAAACCATACAGTTAAGGAAGAGCTGTGTTAACTGAGAGAAAATTGCTCATCAATGTTTGAAGATGATTCTGTAGCTTGTGCGCGCATGCGCACACACAAATTTAACTGAACTAATGTGAGCTGTGAGGAAATAAAGAAAAAAACGGTGGCTGGTAGGAGACTGACCTAACAGATCATCAGCTAGTATGTGCATGAATAGGTTAAAGTAGAGATGGAAAGGATGTCACTGATAACAGCAACATAAACTGATAAAATTTGTCAACAATTCTAAACAAAATGTCCTGTAAAGTAAAATGCAAAATACATGAGAAAGTCCTAACACAAAGACTTCAATAAATGGCTGCCTTTTTTTTTTTTGAGAAGGCACTAATTTAGATTAACAATTTAACATAATGATGCTGAATTTAAAGTTAAGATTGTCTAGGAAAGAGTAAAAAGAAACAAGTGAAAACAAGCAAAGACAACTGAACTGTACGTACACAATCCTCAAACTTTATCAAGTTTTTTATTTTTATTTTTTTAAAGAAATCAGAACAGTGTGCAGGTGGCTGGTGCACTGGCAGAAAATGAAGAGGAAAATGGCAGTGACTACCACAGCAGAACCCACCAGGGAGCTCGGCCAACCACGGTCCCTTCTGATGCTTCTGCTACTACAGGTCATCTTAGAGGAGGAAGAGGGGAGGAAGGAGGGGAGGAGGGAGAGGAGGAATACTTGAACTGTGTTTTAAAATGGTGGCTGTCAAAAATAACGCAGTTAGGACTGGTACAAAAAGGCAGGCAGACCAACTGGAGAGAACAGTCTAGAAATGTGCAGCGTGGCACTGTGTTTTATAAAAGTTCTATTTCAAATTAGTTAAGGGATGATTAGCAGCTGTGGGAAAAGGAGGCAGTTGCCTTAGGGAGGGGGATTAGTTTTGAACCCTTAAATTTAGGATGATTGATTTAAAGGTTAAAAAAAAATCAAATAAAAGACATCCAACTTTGTGTATCCCAACTCTAATGATGAATTTGCACTTGAGGAAGGGCATAGGATGTCCACACAGGGCAACTTGCATTATGATTGTTGGAAGTTGATATACAGGTGGGTACCGTATGTACAGCATGACATTTCTGGAGAGATGCACAAGCAACTGGTACTGGTATGTATTTTTTTAAATAGAACTAAATGATGGGTGTCAGGGTAGGAGAGAGACTACATTTTTACTGCTTGAACCAGGAAGTTACGTTAAGTCAATAAAAAAAAAATAAAGTAAAACATATGCCAGCATTATGGACAAGGCTTGATCCCCAGAACCAGGAAATAAAACAAAACCCAAAGCAAAAAGACAATCAGGAAACGAACCCCAGAGTTCCAGCTGCCAGCAGCATTATTAGGACCTAAAGAAGGTTAATTTGCTATGTTGAATTCTCCCATCAGTAGACTGGACAAGAGTCAGCTGTCTCAAAGGGGAAATGCGCCCACCCCAGGGGAATTTTCCTGGAGTAGTGGTGTGGACCACTACCCAGTGCCGCGGCTCTGGTGACTACAGCTTCAGCTGTATTACCTATGGCCTGAATCGGTGTATGAACTGAGGGTCACCACAAATGAACAACAACTTTGATTTAAAAAGTACCTCAAGGCAATAAAAAAAATTATTTTAATTTCTGATACATATTAAAACATTTCAGTCAGGTCTTCCTGACAGCATAACAGGACAGATACACAAGACCTCAAACATGCTTTAAAATGACATTCAGCAAAGTATTCAAAATGTAATAAATAGCAATAATCACACACAAACACATCTTCATACTCAATCATTAAGCTACTAAAACAGACAGCTAAAGAATAAATAAACAAGAATTGACACTAAAAAAAAATAAATGAGGTTTTGTAATCCACTCTACTTAAAGAGGGGGGTAATCCAAACAATTTCTTAATTTGCTTTTCAGTATTATACTGGTGACTCCCCCCAACCCCAAGAATAAAATATACTGGAAAAAAAAATCACTTACAATATAGTTTTTAAATACAACAAATAAATATGAAACCAGCAAAGCAAGTTCAGGTTGTAATAAAAATGGTCCCCCCCAAAGCTCTGGAAATATATAATCACTGTGGTAGCAAATGATAGCATCTGAAGTGAGTGCCCGGGCACTGAACTCGTCTGAGAACTTGTAGGGCTTTAGTGCAAATCCCTAGGGTCCAACTCGTGCAAACCCCTGTACTAGAGAAAGACATTACCAGGTGGAACTTAGCATGTACAACTTCTGTACATACTTTAAAAAGTTCAAAATTTAATGCATAGTAGAGTATCTTCATCCGCTTAATTCTGTCCCTAAATCGAGATGAAAACAGAAATGTCTTGGGATTTTACCATTTGGTCTGTACCATGTTAGAGTATTAAAGTCAGCATTAGAAAATCTATAAAAGTTTGTTTTCTGACAGCAATCTATCTAACTCTACGTAAGTTTTACATCGTTGTGTGTTAAACGCAAGAGGAAGTTCTTTTCCCCTGGACGGGTCCCTATGATGAAATCCAGTAGCAGACAATGTTACGCAAATAAAGAGGTGATTACAAGGGTTTGTTTTCTCTTTTGTACATTAACAACCTTAGCATCATCTAGTAGAATAAATTACATGGTGTCAAAGAGCATTAAAGATTCAATTAAAAGAAGGTGCTATTTTGTACAAACAAACCTTTTAACATAAGATAGATAAAATGACAGTGAAATAAAGCAGCCATATTTCTACTATTAAAGTACCAGGATTTAAAACAAAAACAAAGTCAGTAAAGACAAATGGAAGAACGTGACGGAGGAATACAAATACATAATGCATTTTTAGCTGCTAAACCAGTCAACCCTAGCTCATCGAGTTACACGTTGTTTCATTTGACCATGCAGGCTAACATATCATAAAAAAATCACCCTGCATCTTTTCATTTTAAACTAGTTTAATTGTGAAGTTACAAAACAATGAATGGATATTGCTCCAGCTTGGATACAGTCTCTCTGAGGAGTCCACCCTAACACAGTAGCAAAGCCTCGTCATCGCTGGGTTCGTTTTTCATTGTGGCTACTAAGCAAGTGTCTGGGATCTGGGCGGTGTGCACAATGCCACAGCGCTCGCAGGGGCCATCGTGGTTACTTGTTCTGACTCCAGGGTTCGGGGCACTGTATGGCTGCCTAAACCCTTGCACTTGGTCTGAGGCAAGATCAAGAAGAGGGCGAGAGCAGTCACTGGCGTCCATGTCCGAGGCTCCATCGGAGACTGGAATTAGCATTTCCACATCGTCGTCGTCTTCTCGTCCACTCACCCCGCTGTCGAGCTGTCTCAAAGGACTCTGGTGCTGAGTGGAGGAACTCGACCGACCTAACGTAAACCGGACCCAGCGCAGGCCCTGAGTCATGCGACTTAACGCACTGGTGAGCTGGTGCCGGGCTGGGCTCACACTCGGGGCTTCCACACCGGCCACATCCCTTCCGTCGCCGTGGCCGCCGCCGCCGCGGGCGCTCTGGGCCGAGGAGTTCGCAGCGGCCCCCACCGAGGCTTCCACGGCGGCGGTGGGGGGGACCTTCTGGGGCAGGGGCGCTGCAACGCCCCCCGACGCCCCTGCCGTATCCCTTCGCTCACTCTCGGGGTCGGGGTCGTCGGACTCCACGGAAAACAGGCTTCTGTGAAGGTGACTCCTCTCCGCTTCTCTGCTGCTGTTCTGACTCGGGACCACCTCGTCTCCGTCGGCCGACACCAGAGCCAGCGATCCTGAATGACGGGATCGTGCGAAATTAAAAATACGATTCCAAATGCTGCTGGATCGGCCCGTCATAGGGAGCCTGATGGATGTAAATCCCAGCTGAGACCGGACAGCTAGCCTCAGGTTTTCTAAAACCGAAGCCTGCAAAAGTTAAGAAAAAAAAAGTAAGACCACTAAGAACGAAGTATCAAGATGAAGAACAGTCTTTGACTCAGTGTTCCTAGGGGCAGGGATGAAGTAAATCCCCCCAGCTCTACAGGTCCACTCTAGAGAATCTAATCTAACTTAAATTCCAACTTTACAGTGATAGTTATGTCAATTACAAGTTATTTTATTTCAAACCTCAATAATAATCCAATCCTAAACCTGTACCAAGTGTAGAAAATAGGTATCTTTACAACCAAAAAGACTGACAAATCTCTGCTGTACGTCACTAAGTGACCTGGTATCATTTATGTTAGTGATCCTTTATCTTCTTACACAAACACAGTCAGCCTTGATTTACAAGGCTGGACTGTCCTGTCAATGGGGGAATTACATTTCACAGAGCTGGTTTCCAGAACTGGGTGAACGGATACTGAGGATTCAGTTATACTGTCACGCACGAAAGACTGAACATACTTGTAATACAGAATAGAAATCAAAAGTTTACATTGGGATTCCTTCTCAAGTTTAAGAACTAAGCTTTTTTTTTTCAGTTTAGGATTAAACAAACCATATTAGTCTTTAAAAACTGATTTAAAATTAAAAAACATTTACAGACTTTAAAATATGGATTGCTTCACTAATTAATTAGCACATAATAAAAGTATCTTGCTCAACTAAAAGAAAACCTAGGGGCCAACGAGACGGCTCATCAGGTGAAGGCATGGGCGCCAAGCCTGGAGCCCACCACCCATGCGCGCTGTCCTCTGACCTCCCCAGGATGGCGCATAGCAAGCACGCACCCTCTTCCAAACACAACAGCAAAGAACTGTAATGAAGAGGTAAACTCTTCTGTTCTAGAAGGAAGTGTTAGATTACGTTTTTAAAATGTGCAGCATTTAAACAGTCTTCAAGCTCCACCTAGTGGTTATGGAGTTGGAACAAACAGAGCTCTATGAACCCAGGTGGAGCATTAAAAATACTATGTATGTATCTCAGCAAAGATTAGCTGACCCACTCCTTACAGGATGGTCTCCCCTGCCCAGGCCCAGCTTCTGGCTCTTCCTCTCACAAAAACAAAAGGGAAGCGGCCAGGGAAGAGATGCCAGCTCCCGCTCGCTCTCCACCTGTGTCTGTCAGGTCCATATAGTTATACCTGTATGGTCTGAAAACAACCCAGCAAATGCCAGGAGCCCACCATGACGGAGCATTTCCTAGCCCAGCTTTAGGAAGATACGCACCGCCTGTCAGAAATGTGGATATCCGCACAGACGGACTTTCAGTACAAAATGTGTGAGATTTTTCCTCACCAATTAAGTATCTAACTACAAAATTAAAACAAATCAATAGTAGTTCAGGTTTAGAAAGAACTTCTCCTCAGACTAGTGTACTCCAGCCGCAGTCCAGTGAGGCAGGTGAAAACCACAGCAGTGAGCGGTGGATCCTCCGGCGGATCCTCGGCACACGTGATAGCAACGTCATCACTACAGTCTGCACAACCAATCAGGAGTCATTCTCTACTTAGTGAAGAGCCTGCTAATAAAGTTGCCAATTCTATAAGGAAATACCATGGGTGTTTGCTGGATGGTTGTCCACAGCTTAATTTGTGAAGCAGCAAAAACTCCCCAGAAAGCATTTCTTATTTTATACTAGGCGGCAAACTACAAAATTATTTTCTTTTAAAAACTTGTGGAGAGATGATAATTTGTCAGAAATTTCAACTTGAGAGTCTGGTCTCATTAAGCAAAGTCTAGTTTACTGTTCAAGAACATACTTCATTTAAAAGGTTATTTAAACAGAATCCTCTCACAGAGATCATTTATAGCTCCGGAGAACGGAGCTCTGTGGAACGAAGATCAGCCTTACTTGAAGCCTCTGTCTGACTTGGCTTCTGAGGGTCATGGCTGACAGAACAAGGCGGCAGCTCCCTGGGGACTGGCAGGCAGCTCCAATACTGTGACTTGGGCTGGGGCTCTGGTGAGCCAGGTGAGGTGAGTTTCAGTGGGCAACAGACTTCGATTAGCCCCCACAATTAATCCTGACTGTGAGTCCTGGATGGGCTCAGGGGAGTGAGTGTGCTTGGCTGGTGACAGCGATGGAATAGTGTCCGTCACACAGGTGTCAACAGCCAAGCTCTGTCCCTGGGCTGCCTGAGCTCTACCCGGCAGCTCTTTCCTCAGTCCATTTTAATCTGTACCCTCCGTGGGCAAACGGCTCCCAGCGAGCCCTTCAAATCTCTTTAGTGAGCTGGAAAACCAGAGGGAGCCGGGAAGCCTGGCCTTGCCAATGGTCCGGGCTGGGAGCCGTCCTGGTGGTGAGCAGTCCAGGTCTGTGCTCCCACCCCTTCAGGGGCAGAGTGGGGAGGGGTGATGGGAGCAGGGGCTGAGTCAGCCATGGCCTGTCTGCCACCTTCCTTCAAAGCTCTGACTGTGGCAGGGCCGCCAATAAAAAGAAAACTATAATTTAGTTTCTTCTATTTTACACCCCCAATTTTGGCCAGTATAAATTCAGAATTATAAATTAAAATGTTCAAAACCTACAATTTCTCACCAAGGATTTGCTAAACACTCAAATGCGGTGACATGTGCCAGAAGTGAATTGGTGTTCTATTTTTAAAGAGTTAAGTCACTGAGAAAATATCAATTTTTTTTTTAGTTCTAATTCTGAGAATCGTTTTTATAAACATTTGTGAATACATTTGAAATCTAAATGCATATAAATCCTTCTGACTAAAATGAACCCTGGTATATTTTCACAGCTTGGAAAGTTTTAAAAAATTTCCTGAGAAATTTGAAGAATCGAGAAACTTGAGTTACGACCCACAGACAGTGGACCAAATTCTTAAACACCGTAAAACTCAGCTTGAAGTTGTTCCTCAAATGAGGGACAAACAACTTCTCTTCGGTTACTTTTACTTCATACTGGTTAAGCGACATTGTTAGTACATTAATTTTAGTATTCATCCTTAAATCTCTTACCGTTCAGTTCAATCAGAAAATTGGTCGAAGTTTTTAAATTTCATTGCACTCATTTATTATCAAAAGCAAAATGTCTAATGACAATCATATAATCATAAATTTAGTTTTAGAGATTCTGTTTAAAATATAATAAAAATTTATAAATTCAATTCTCTATTTAACATTTTCTTGACTGAAAATTCCTAATTTAAGGGTTCCTGCTTTACTACACACAGACTTTAGAAGATGGGGACACAGAGATTAGACCTGCACTGTACCTGATTAGGTGAGCAAACCGGAAAGTCCTCCACGGGCGGGATTAAGCCCTGAGCAATCAGCTGTCCGTAAGAGGGAGGAGCCTCTCTGCGCAGCAGTTCCGCCTCCACGCGTGACAGCTGGGTCTCAAACGACCTTTGAAAAGGGGAAGAAAAGGTCAAAAGAAGGCAAGAGCAAAGTTCTACCATCAGAACCGGAGATGACCGGCTGAGTCTTCAACCGCATCTCTCCTCTCTGGGAACACTCCTCTCAGCAAGGCTGAAGTGGACCGTGTGTCCAGGGAGCTTGATGCCAGCAAGGACCTACATTACTGTGTTTCAATAGGCTGGAAACCTCTGTAAATAAAGTAAGTAAGTAAAGAACAGATCTTAAAACCCCAAGTCCCTAGACCATAGGAGACAGTTGTTGAAAGGTCTCAGAGACACTTTATCTATCAAGTCTAACACATTTTTTTCAGGTCAGAGTGAAAGGAACCCCAATGCACCCCCTGCAGTAGCTGGACGGCTGGAGACCTGACTCTGCATTGTGCTCTTCTGCTGAAGTATGGTAAAGTTCTTCAGCTACTCATGATGGCTGTTACGGCCTGTGCATCTGTGCCCCATCTGTGACCTTTAGCTGTTTGGCGTGTTCTTTGTTAATTGATAATTTGCAAGGACTGAAGGCAGCTGTCCCCACAGCAGCCTCTTGGGAGACGTCTCTGCCATGAACTTCTCTCAATTTATCTTATACCACACTGGAAGCGCTCTCCCTGTACTCCATCCTCCTTGTGGCTAAACCAAGAACTATCTCTCACTGAACTGCACGTGGCCAGTTCATGTGCTGTTAGTCCTTTGTGTGTTTCCACGGCTCCAGACCAGATGAACCATGTCCTGATTCTTGGAGAAGGCCGGGCATCCTATACACTTCCCTGGAGAAAACCCCTCCAGGGTTTCTTCTCTACATCCTATTCAGACTTCAAAGGGCGCCTCTGGAGTGAGGACTTCCGCATGCCGGCACCATGAGGGCTTCCACACAGTTTCAGGGACTTCAGGTCACTCATGGCTCTCAGCTTACCCCGCCCACCAATCCCCTCCTTACTGTGCGCCTGCCTTGTGACACTATGACTCCCTCACTTCCTTCTCACTTGTACAATGCTATGAACACTGGAGGCTCTCCGATATGTGGAAAAACTGTAACTGAGAACAACAGCTTACAAAATCCCCTCAAGGCAGGAACCTAGTAAATATATTTCTTGTCTCATAAAGCTAAATAATATTCTGTACTCTGTTTATCTTTGATTATTGGGCTTTTCATCCTAATTTTATATATTCTGAACACTTACACATCTCTAACCCCACTGAAAGGACTTACGGCAAACATTTGGGCCACACTTTTAAGTCTTTTCTCTTTTTAGTGTATGTGTGTGTGCATGAGCTGAAGTTCCTGTGTGCAGGTGGAGGCCAGAGGTCAACCTTGGGTGTCCAGTAACCATCCACCGTGTTTACTGAGACAAGGTCTCTCACTGAAACCTGGAGTTTCAAGTTAGGCTAGGCCGGCCGGCCAGTGAACCCAGGGTCCTCATGTCTCCACTAGCACTGGAATTACACGTGTGTTCACTACCATGTTTAATTGTGTGTGAGTACGGGGCATCAAATTCAGCTCCTCATGTTTGTGTGGCAAGTGTTTCACCGACCGAGCTACCCCTGACCCCAGGGTCATGTGTTTACTGCAGAAATCATAAACTACAGTTTGTCTTGATACTGACCTTCGTTCAAACATTCTCAGAGAATAAAGCTTACAGGTGCACCCCAATGCAATGACGAGGAGCAGGCCACAGATGAGGCTCCCTATGACGGCTGCCGTTATGACTCTGGTGGGCACAATCACCGGGCAGTTCTCCTCATCGCTGCCATCACCGCAGTCATCCTGGGAATCACACACCCAGCTTTCAAACACACAGCGGTTATTCTTACAGTGAAAGTTCCCTGGCTGGCAGAAGAAGCAGTTTTTCTCATCTGACCCATTGGGGCAATGATTCTGGTAGTTACAGCGGTCAGAGCGAGGATAACAGACGCCGTTTCGGGAACACGGAAACTCTTCCTTTTGGCACATGGTACAGTTGATTTCATCCCTTCCATTCGGGCAATGCCAATACCCATCACAGCGCTGCTGCTCCGTGTAACACCCCCAGTTCCCTCCACAGGGCACTTCCCACGGCAAGCAGAAGCCATCTACTTGGTAAGTGGCATTAAAGCCCCTGGCAGCATTGACTTTGTCAGCACAAAAATGCACTCTTATCTGTCCAGAGGAAGAAACAACCGTAAGAGGGGCGTGAGAATCGAAAGCGGTTAACACACGCAAAAGCTTCCGAGGATTCTCCTCTAGTCCGTCATATATTTTGACATAATCCCCGTAACCAGTACCATCAAGTTTAAAGTCGGTGAAGCGTAAAATGACTTTCCGATGATCACCAGTGTCTATCAGCCAGGTGCAGTTACTTCCCGGAGGATAAAAGTCTGGGTAGTTGGGAGAACTGAAAGTACCATAAAAGTATTTTAGCCACTGTCCACATGTTGGCACGTCGCAGTCTATCTCGTCGCCTAGGTCCAGGCAGTCGATGTTGCCATCACATTTCAAAGACTCAGGGAGGCAAGTGTAAACTTTGGTGTAGCGGGACAGACACTGGAACTGGCTGTAGGCACAGGGCTGGAACGCAGCAGCTGTTGGGGGGTTAGCGTCCTTGGCACAGACCTCCTCGTCAGAACGATCTCCACACTCATCCATGCTATTACACTTCCAGGCTTCTGGAATACACTTTCCATTACCACAGCGGAACTGGTCACAGGCACAGTTTGGCTCCTCAGATTTCCCTGGGAAAATGTGAGCAAGGGAAAATAAAGAGGGAAAAAGAAAAATAAAACATCCACACCTCAATAGACAGGGAGTGCATGTTTGTATAATAATGATAATTAAGCTCAAGTTAAGGCTCTTTAAAGCCTTGTTAAAAGTATGTTAAATTCTAGTGAGAAATTAGCATTGGCATTACACACTCAAGAATTCCATTCAGTAAATGTGTGCTCCTTTCCCACCAAGTTCCCTGCACTTTTACCTGAAGATGGAAGGGGTCCATTCTGTTCTGTAGATAGCCATTTCACTGCAGAACATTTAGTGAAATGACTGACGACACATGAGCCTAAGAATTTAACACTTTGTAAACATAACTAAAACAGGAGACATGTTTAAAGCAAGAAAAACCGTCCAGGCGACCACTCTGCAGACATTTTCCACATTCTCCTATCGTTCCTGTCTCTGTCCTCATACTCAGCAGTATTTTGCTACTCACACTCTAGTGTATTTTACAATTTAGACTTGCTTTTGATAAACTGTTATCTTAAAGTTGTTTATGCTTCATGTAATCATGATGAAATACTTCCATTTTATCGTTTTATTTTTAAAACAATTGCAAGTAGTTCACAAAATGACTTGATGATGAGCACCAGTGTCTATTACCAGGTGCAGTTGCTTTCGGGAGCAGGAAAGTCTGGGTAGTTTGGAGAACTGCTCATTAAGGACAGGAAAAAGAGTGCTTAGGGAATTCTAATTATTTCAGTATACCATGTCAACTATTCCACACGAGCAAGAGAAACGAACCGGACCCTAGCAGATCCTACGGCCCCACCGACAACAGGCTGAGCTGAGCTGCTGCTGCTGCTGCCAGTCCACTGACAATTCACGTGTGGATAAGGAGGCGGCAGGAATAGTCAAGCTGAGTGGATGTTACAAAGGCGGTGATGATAAGAAAAAGGCACCTCCTAGTGCTCTAAATTGTCCACGGGTGTGACCTGGTCATGTTTGGAAACCGTTTAGGAAGAGAAAGATTACAAAGCCCGAGACAAGTGTGAGTGGGATGGGTTATGTCTTTTGCTTAAGATGTAGTGAAAATAGTAATTCACACGCCAAAAAACAGACTCGGATGTAATCTTGGAGATATGGGCAAAAGCTTCGAGAACAGCCTACTTTCAAACAACTATATTAAGATGTTTTAAAAGACAGGCCTTACTTTATGAAATCATTTCATTATGGTTATATAAACATTGGATTGGGTACTCAATCTTAAGACAGCTGACAGTCTACTCCTCATCTCAGTCGCCTGGAGGGCTGACACAGGCCTAAATGGACGCTGTTCAGAAAACTAAGCAAAGGTGATCGGCAGTTAACACCACAATATGTGGTTCAGCATGTTTCTTTTCAAAAACACACCTGAAAAATAGGCCAGTCTGAAGCCTTTCCTGGACACGCTGTCATCCGAATGGAACCTGATCCAAACGTGGTCTTGGGAGGAGATGTACGGAGGCGGGACTGTGGACCCACAAGCTCTGTAACTTTCAATATTCTTGTATGTTTCTATTGTCAACCAGTCCAAACTGCACCTTCTGGACCCCTGGATATCAAAGTCCTGAAAACTAAAACAAGAGAACATTGGAAGAGGCTCTAAAAAACTTGGACGAGGCTGTTTATAAAAAAGAGATGTAACCGAAGACAAAGCTCCAAGCCCCTGCTCCTTCTGCGCCAGCAGACAGCCAACATCAGCAGCCGCCACACACCTGCTTCCACAGCCCTTTGCCTGCATCCCTCCCTGAGCTTCCAGAATAGTATTTCTCTTCATAAGGTGACAGCAGACTCCAGAACCATGCTGAACGCCAGCACATGCTCCTCTGTTGATCTAGTTAGGAAACCCCTTTCCAATCCTGATCATCCTATAGTGCTTCATGCCTAAGCCGGAAATTCAAGCATGGAGGAAGTCTGTGGGAGAAACTCCTCCTTCTCTCCAGTTAGACTGGGTCACGCACTTCCTTAAAGCAGCTCCAGCTAACATTTCCAGGACAGCAAATCAGAACCACAAAGAAGGAGAGGGGAAGGGGACGGAGGGGAAGGGGAGGGAGGAGGAGGGGAGGAGCAGGAGCAAACAAGAGTGCCATCTTTTCTGAACGGTCCTGAGTTTGGGAATACTCTTTCATATAGATCACTTTATAGCTAAACATGATCGTGTAGTTCCTAAAATAGGGCACAAGTAAATGGTAAAAAAAAGTCAAACAAGAACAGGAGAGCAGCCATTGCTTAGTAGAAACGAGAAATCCAATTTTGCTCCCAACATCTGAACATGGCTCGCTAACAAATGAAAATTCAGCTTTAACTCTCTGCCTTTGCTTTAAATCAAGTGATAAGGAAGTTAACTGCGAGGATTATGTTAAGCTATTTTCTCTTTAAACACTCTGAATAACTAACTCAGGCTGGTACTTGTCTCTGGCCTTCCATTATCATGTACAACACTTTCAGAGATCTCTATGGACATGCATCTCTTACAAGAAGTCAGTTTCATATTACATTTAAATTTTTTTTTTTTTTTTGGTTTTTCGAGACAGAGTTTCTCTGCGTAGCTTTGCGCCTTTCCTGGAGCTCACTTGGTAGCCTAGGCTGGCCTCGAACTCACAGAGATCCGCCTGGCTCTGCCACCCGAGTGCTGGGATTAAAGGTGTGCGCCACCACCGCCTGGCTACATTTAAATTTTTAATAGTCTAAAAATATTATTTGCACTGAAAGTTATTAGAACTGTGATTCTTTTAGTCAACATGTCAATAAACATATATTACTATATTATAAATAGTCAGGCATACCCAGTAGTTATATTTTAATACTCTGTAATGTGATGTGTTTTATAAATTAAGAAACATTTATAGATTAACCAGATTCCAGCTCTGGCAGTGTTCCTGTAGACCTCAGCAGTGCATACCTACTGCCAATCAGGAAGTCAGTCACAATCGAAAGTTCCAGGAAAGGTGCCCTGGAGAAGAGGAGACTAGAGAGAAAAGGTATGTACCTCACAACTGTGGTTTGGTCTCCACAGAAGAAACGTGGAAGGGGAGGCAGTTACATTTCTCAAGAGACTGGTTCTCTTATTAGGTAAAAAAAATACAACAAGTAGACCAAGGTTACCCACTTTATTTTAAAAATGTGAAAGGAGGGGTTGGAGGCTATGGTCTAGAAAGCACCTTCTAAGTCTAAAAGTGTGACATCTGCAAGGCTGTTCAAGGGTCTGGGCTCCAGCAGAACACTGCCTCTGTGAAGGGAGGGCACCCTTCCTGGGTTTCCGCTTCCATTGCAGGTCTCCGCTTAGGCACATTCCTTCCCCTTTAGACAAAAGAAGTTTCCCCTCACAGTCCTGACATATGTCAGCGAGACAGCACTAGCAGCTTACTAAACAGCCACCCTCAAATACCTTACTCTCACACTGTTTTTCTCTATTTTAAGTCAATTTAACCTTTTTATATAATATTTACATTAGAAACGAGGCTGATGGTGACTGCTCGGAGAAACGTCTTATATGGGAGCTATAGAGACAGCTCAGGAGTTATGAGCACTTATTGCTCTTGCAGAGAACTGGGTTTGAGTCTTAGCGTCCACATGGTATCTCACAAGCACCTGTAACTCCAGTTTCAAGGGACTGATCACTTTTTCTGACCTCCCAGGGCACCAGGCACACACATGGCACACAGACATTTATGTAGGTAACACTCATACACATAAAAAGTGCCTTTCATCCTTGTGTCTGTTTGTCCACAGTGCCAGGGTCAAGCCCACGACCTTATCTGAGCAAGCCCCTGACCCTGAACTGCACCTGCGGGCCTCACTTTAGAGTCGTCTGCATTTTAAGTTAGTGTATATCCTACCAGCAATGGGTTTTCAATCACTCTCTAGATACCGTGTGTGTATGCACATGTCCTGGGGGTGCATGTACACATACATGTACATGTGGCCAGAGGTCAACTTCACTTGGGGTTTGCTCTTCAGACTCCACTCACTGTGATTTCTGAGAGTCTCTAACTGGATTGGAATTTGTCAAATGGGTGATCTGGCTATTCAAACTCAGGTTTTCACGCTCGTGTGACACACACTTTCTCTGACCGAACAGTCTCCCCAGCCCTCACTTTGTATTCTTCAACAATGTTACTTTGCTTCTAAATTATAAAAGGGGGCTGAGGAGATGTCTCTGTGAGCAAAGCACTTCCTGCGCAAACATGAGGACCTGATTTGGACACCCAGAACCCATGTGGCATGATGGCACATGTCAGGAAGCCTAGCACTTAGAGGGGCCAGGGGTACAGGCTCATGCCCAAAGCTCACCAGCCACTAGCCTAGCTAAAAGACAGCTCCAGGCTCGGTGAGAGACTCTTCTAAAAGAAAAAAGGTGCAAAGTAATAGAGGAATACATCTAGCATTAGCCTCTGGTCTCCATATGTGCAAATATGGGTGAATACACCTGCAACACACACAATCACATACCAAAGAAAGCAAAACAGTTGAAGATATGCTTGATAGCATTTTTACAGTCTTATGAGTACACACATGTCCACCCACAATTGTATTTAACTTCTGTAGAGTAGGGGTCAATGAAGGAGGCTGAGGTTATGGCATGAATCTTTGAGTTGGTTGGTAGGTTTTGTTTGTCTACACACTGCTAAAGGTCATTCTTGACCCTAATAAGCTATTGAGCAAATTATACTTTTGTTAAAAAGTAGTTACAGTAGCTGGGTGGAGTGGATTATATTTTATATGATGTGTTTATCCTGGATTCGGGTGAGGGAATCCAGCACTCTGGAGGCCGAGGCAAGAGGATTTCCAGCTCAGGACAGCATGCTGTCAGCAATAGAAAATACTGAAAACACAAGTTAGTTAGGGCATTGCTTCATTTTAAAACTATAACTTACCTTATGTTCTGCAAGATATTTTTATATTACTGTACCTATGACAATGACATTTAGAAACTTTATATTTTAAATAAAAGATTAACAATGTGAAAGGTATCAGAATTACCTTATAGTAATGATTTCCCCTGGGTTTGCCCTTATGAGCCAGCTACAGTTGACTTTGGCAGGATACTCAGAAGGCCAGCCTGGACTCGTGATTATTCCACTCGGTGCTCGGATTTGTTCTGGAGTCTCTCCACAAGCTGGAAGACAGCCCAAACGACCTTAGCTAATCACTACATCCCAATGAAAAAGCAGCATTTCTTTAAAAACAACAACAACAACAACAACAACAAAACCAAAAAGCAAACACTTCAGAAGTGAAAAAGCAAACACTTGAGATGTGAAATTGCATGCGGGAAGATGTGGCTCAGCTCAGAGAGCCTCTCTAGTCCACTCTGCTATTTTCTTTTCTTCCCCTTTAGAAAAAGAACCTTATCTGTATTTGGGTATTACCAGCAGGCAAGGGAATTTTCCAATTGGATCACTCAGGCATCAGAATTTTAGGTTTAAGTATAGAGATCAATCAATTCCCCCATCGATCTTTTCTCCAATTTATCTTTTAAATTCATTTTACTTGTGAGCTACCTAAAGTCCAATACTTATTCAGTAAATGTACTTAGATCTTTAGGATCTTCCAGTTGTTTTGTGTGAGCTTTAAATAACCATAAGATACTGAACTGCAGTTTCTGATAAAGTAGGTCACTGGATAAAGACAGTAAGACATGAAAACACTGCAAAACTGTTCCTGCACTCACTCCATTAATGACCTCAGGCATAATCACAGGGTCGTGATTTGAATGAGAACGCCTCCACAGGCGCAGACGTACCGGTCCCAGCCCGTGGCATTATTTGGGGAAGTTTAGGAAGTGTGCCTTGTTGGAAGAGGAATGTCACTGAGTTGGGACTCTGTGATGTCAAAAGCTTCGTGCCAGTCCCAGCTCACCCTTTCCTTCCTGTCTGTGGAGAGGGGAGCCCTCAACTCTCAGCCTGCTGCTCCAGCCACCACGCCTCCTCGGGCGCTCCGCCTCCTCGGGCGCCACGCCTCCTCGGGCGCCACGCCTCCTCAGGCGCCCCGCCTCCTCGGGCGCCCCGCCTTCTCGGGCGTCCCGCCTACTCGGCCACCATGCCTCCTGTGTCCTTACCACCCACCCTCATCCCTCAGAACCATATGCACCCCAAAACCCTTCCCTTCTCTAAGTTGCCTGGGTCATGGTGTTTTTAATCACAATAAGGGAAAAAAAATGAAGACGAGGGTCTCGAAAGAGTCCTAAACGATTGAAAAATATCTGAACAGCACGAAAGAAAACATTCATGCCTATACATGCTTTTACTTAACCAGAATTGTGCTGATAATATGACAATGTATTCTTTCCCACTAAAAATAAAAACACTTGGCTAGACAGGAAAGAAAAAGACAAAGAACAAAAGAAAGGTTTTGGTAGAACTAAAACCTTGTAAACTATTATTTCATATAATTTTAATCAATTATATTTGCTGATGTTTAAAGTAATAGCTGACAAGGCCACATAAGGAATTATTAGAAATCCTGGGACAATTTTCAGAAAAAAATGATAAAAATTATATATCAAATTACAAAAACCCTGATGAGTACTATGTTCCAATTAATTAATTAGTATATATACCTATAAAAAGCATTGCTGAGGGACGAAATGAGTGAGGGTAAGCAATGCACTTGGTATCACATATAGCCTGAACTCTGACAGTGTAAAAGATCAGGCAGCCAGACTTGTAGACAGCCAAATACCCTCACTGCAGCCACAACTGGGTAAAATTCTTCCTTTTAAACAGAGGTTGATGTCCACTTAATTTAGGCAAGGATGATAAGAAACTGTAGTTAAAGAAATCTCTTTGATGTGTTCAAACTGTCAAGTTCTTGTTCTCAGAATCCATGTCTGTAGAAAACCCACACCCATGTTTTAAAGTATGTTCTACTACAGAGTACAGGCTCCAGCCTGGAGGAAACCAGAACGCACCGCCCAAGGGTCGGATGCAAACCACTTTTAGAACGTGCAGAGTCACGGCTCAGAATACGGGGCACTTATGCCAAGGGCTCTGCCTTCACGTCCAGTCACAATCAAGGCTGCTCTTCCTCACTTACTGATTGATCAGTTAGTTACCGACTGCCATCGCTAAGTTTCATTACTACTAAATTTCTTGAGCTGGGCATGGTGGAATGCTCCTCCAATCCCAGCACTTGAGAGGCAGAAGCAAAGGATCAGTCATCTCTGATGACACCAAAGAATAAATTCCCTCCCTTACAAGAAAAAGGACTGATTTTAATGAATGATGGTTCAGAAAAAGACTCAATTTCTCCAAGGTAATTCTATGACGAAAACTTATTGAAAATAAAGTACAGCTTTGTTTCCATTTCATTAAGACAGCCACAACAATCTCATGAAAAAAAAAATTCTAAAGCCCTTCTTCCTGCTACTTTTTACCAAAGCATTCTGGAACTCTGGATGGAGTCAATTGTGACACAGCATTAAAACCTCCAACTTTGAAATAAACACCAGACTAACTTTAGGGAAAAACTAGAAGGATTATTTTATTATTATTATTTTTTTAAAATTAGATTTTAAGAAAAACAAAATCCAAGTACATGAGAAACCAATAGGTGGTGCTCATATACCAAAAAATTAAGCTTTTGTGTGGACACAGGACACATGTAAATACGTATAAACACACACAAACACATATGAACATGCTTGAGCAGACCCGAATACACAAGGCTGAGCCACGCCACTGAAGACAGGATTAATTATTTTAATTCTTATGACACTTATACTTCTATCTGTATTCTTAGTGACATTATTTTAAGGCATACATCATTCCCCTCAGTAAATACAAAACTAAATTACAATATCAAGATTTTCCTTGAATTCATTTTAGATATTATAACTTTGTTTTGCACATTTGCAACATGCTAGAATTTGGCATTTTGTTATAGTGGCTTTAAAAGAACCTATGTTAATGAGATCCCACGTAAATACACATACCATTATATAAACTTTAAGTCAGCGTTAAAATATCAATCTCCTCAAATATTTACCATTCTTTTTGGTGATCCATGCCATTTTAGTCAATTTGCTCAAGTGTGTGCATTGGGTACATAGATAAACTCTATCTAGCACAATCATAACATGGCCTCCTATACCTATGAAAGAATGCATTAAATTGCTAAAACAACCTTCCTTTTTGGTTTCGGTGAAGAGTTTGCACTGTACTGGCAAACTGGAACGGCTGTCTCTCTCATCTGCCACACTGGCTTGGCTACAGTATAAACTTACTTCGTTTTAGCTTCTCTGTGTTAACAAGGAGTTACTCCTTGACTGCCTCCAACGTCTACCTCAGCCCTCTTGTCCCATCTCTTCCATCTGTGGTGCATTTCCAATATCTACCCAGGATAAGCAAAGCATTTCTTTCTTTCCTTGTGTCCCTCTGATCTATTAAAATCAGACTTTCAATCCTAACCTTGGCCATAGAAACGACACTCACACACCACTCACTGCCAAATCCGGGAGGTCGCCAGTCCCCAAGATCTTTCTAGAGCACCTGGCATTAACCTCTTTCTGCTTCTTGTTAGGGTCTACTCCCTTGACTGGCTGACACACATCTTCTGTAGGTTTTCTGGGATTCCTTCCCTTTCCTGGCCACTCTGATCAGGCAGTGTTCATGGTGTGTCCAGAGTGTCTCTTCTCTTCACTCTCGGCACGTTCCACACACTCTTACCATCGCAGCTACAATCTACAGGTTATGGCTTAAACTCTGTAGCCAGGGACTCTGCATGGTCAAGTGCTCACTGGACGTTCCAAGCTCACATTCAACATGGCCAGAACTGTGTGTTTCCCAAATCCTCTTTACTCTATATTCTACATCTTCACTTGGCTCCAGCATCACTTGGTCAAGAGAAAAGGCAAGTGAGTAAAACGGAAACTCATTTAAAAAATACCACAGGTCATCTCAAACATTCAAAAACAGGATTTGTTAATGAGAACTGGAGGTTTCAGCTGGGAGCCAAGCTTGCTTTCACGACCTGTCACCAAAGCCCAGCCTTACAGTGTCTTTCAACCCCTTTCTTCATTATGTTAGCACGTTATAAATGTCCCCAATCCCTTCTCGTCCTATCACTTCAGCTCTGATGTTTAACCTCAACTAATTTGAAGTGGTTTAATGTGTTTAATGTGATCAAATTTAAGTTGCTATTTTCTTGCTTTTAAATGGGTATTTAACAACTAACACCAAGCAAAGGGTATTGCAGCTGTAAACATAATTATTCTGATAAAAGAATTCCAATGCTTTGATTGGCTATAGTATGGTCAATGAGTAATATCACAATGCCAACTCAGATTGATGAACTGTAAAGCCTGGACTGCTCCAGGAGCTGGGCCTGGCTCAGCAGGAAGGAGGGCAGAGGGAAGCTAATATGTTGTCCACAAAGAATGAAAAAGTACTTTGTAAAGTGAGTTGCTGGATGAAAGTCGGGATGAGGATGGGGGCAGGACACATACCCCTACACTTCACATTTATAACCTTTTAAAAAAAGTTTATTCATTTTTTAAAAAATTTCACATACATTGGTGTTTTGCCTGGATGTATGTCTGTGTGAGGAGAGTGTTGGATCCTCTGGAACTGAAGTTACAGACAGTTGTGTTGCCATGTGGGTACTTGGAATTGAACCCTGGTCCTCTGGAAGAGCAGCCAGTGCTCTTAACTGCTGAGCCATCTCTCCAGCCCCCATTTATAACTTTTTTGTTTTAAAACAAAAACACATGTATTTTTAGCTCATTTAAACCTCACCTTTCTAGATTTTGATAGAACTCTCAATTTATATTTCAATCTTGATCTTCTTTTCCTATATTCATTCAATCCATGCCTTCTCTACTGCTTATACATAATTATTTTAGCTACAGTCTAGTTAGTTCTTCGATAAGAGTGTATTTAATTGGCATACAATAAGAATGTATGTAATTGGCAATGGGAGGAATTTTGTTAATATAATGTAAAATTGTACGAAAAATATCCTGGCATGCTAATGATCT